ATACTTGAGATGGAGAGCATTGTGTTCCACCTCCTTGAGGGTGAAGTATCTGCATAAATTATTTTGAATTCTCTTGCATGTAAAGTTTGTGTATTCTTCCCTATTTATTCAGTTATTTACATCACAATGCATGTATAGCTATTTACTATACTTGCAGGCTGGCCACATCCCCCGGCGACCCAAGTGGAGGCCCTGGTATCTGGGATTTATTTATCTTCTACAATTGAAACTTTGTAGCCTGAAGCGGAGCCAAGCCTTCTGCTAGCTTTGTGGTGGCAGCCATTTCTGTTGGGATTTATTTATCTTCTATAATTGAAACTTTGTAGCCTTAAGCGGAGGACTGGGCCAGCCAGGGTTGTGTGAAAAGCTTGGCTTCCTCCATCACCAGAAAAACCCAAACCTCCCTCCAGTTCTCTCCATGGTTACAGCCATCTTGGTTGGGTTAATTTGCATATTCACTCCTTATTGGCTGGTGGATGTGGCTTGTGGGTATAGCAGAATGATGGTTAATTTGAATATTACTCTTTTATTAGATAGGATGGACTGATCATTAAAGACTAAAATCTATATAGAATTGATCAAAAGTAGCTAAACTATATTAGACAATATCAGCTATACAATCCCAGTTAGCCAGACCTTTATTCTTTTACTGGACTTTCAAGTTGTTATAGTGCTCACTTTGCATTATTTCAGTCATTCCTCATAGTGATACTATGGAATTGTTTTTGGGCACTTTTACTCTCCTTGACTTATAAAGGAAACTAGCTTAAACAGTTAAGTTTTAGGTTAGGGGACTTGTCCAAAACCCCTTGACTATCAAACAGTGGATTCTAAACCAGAAGTTGGTACCATTCACCATTCTCTATTTAAATATTTTGCCATTCTGCTATTTGGCTTCTTCATTCAGTTCTTTCTCTACAAAGTAGTCAGATGATCTTTTCAAAATCTTCATCAAGCCCTATTTACTCACTTGATTAAACCTTGGTCATGAGTTACTATTTTATTCTGCATATAATGCCACATCCTTGGTATGGCCTTCACATCCATGGCCTCACTCATGCTCTCTCACCTTTGTCATATGCCTCCCTGCCCCTTTGCTCCCCAGGCTCTGGGCACACTGGTCTGTTTCTTCTTCCATATGTGACTAAAGACCTCCCCCCACTTCCTGCTCCCCCTGTCTAGAGTGCTGGGCCCTACTCTTCACCTGGTAACTCCCTTCGTCACAAAGGCTTGAGATTCTATGTGAATTCCCCAGAGAAGCCTTCCCCTAACACAGAACCAGTTCCTCTTGGCGTCTTCTTTTGGCAAACCCGAATTCTCCATTAGTTTTTACTGATATGTTTATCTTTGATAGTCTGTCTAGCACCGGCCCTCTCTGCTTGTGTAAAGGTCTCCTGCAGTGAGAAACCATGTCTATTTGGCTTGTTTCTGGTCTCCTGCTCTGATCCAGTGTCTGGCACATAGTAGCTGCTCAGTAAACAGGTGTGATTTAAGCAAATGAATAAGTCTATGAGGGTGTGTCCATACCTCCGTTGCTAAGTGGAGCTTTCTATTAAATTAGAAAATAATGTCAAACCTGTAGATTTTTCTGTATATCATGGGAATATGAAGATGGCTTTTGATACTTGAAACAATTTAAGCAAGTCTTAGAAAATTGTCAGAAAATGAGTTTAGAAAAAATAGCATGGATTATCGAGGGAGATTATGCAGTCACCTTCCCCAGAGGTTTAAACAGAAGACAGTACTGAAATTGGAGGAAGTTTAAGGTCTATGTGAAGGCTATAGATATCGACAAGATCTTCTGTGGTGACAAAGACTTGAACATTGGAATTCTACTCTTGTTTCAGATTTCAGTTTTTTTTCCAGCATGTGCTATCACATGACAGATGCATTCCTAAAGATCCCCACACAGGACTTGTGGGGAAATGAAGTTTTGTCAGTGATGCATTAAAAAATAAGAGGGAAAAAAAAAAACTAATAAAAAGGGCAGCTAATTTTGCATGTGTTAATTGACTAAGAAATACAGAAATGATTTACTAAATATGGCACTTCACCCTGAAAAAGTACACAGTGTGCTCATAGGAGAGCTCCGTGGCAGCCTGAGCCACTGTGAAGCGGCAAAAGGAAGGCTGGAACCCAGGGCAAACTGTGCCTCCATCTGCGGATGACAGCGGCTCACCTCGTGCTGGGAGGACTGAGGGGCCTGTCAGTCTCTGAGATGTGGATGATTTGTGTATTTATTTCTGTGTTAGGTTGAGTGGGATGCAGTTTTCCATGTTGACTCATGTTTCTCACGAATAAAATTAGGCATAAGAAAATGTGAGATTTGTGTGATGCTCAAATTTTCCCAGTATATCAACTGCATTGGAATAAATGTGCACCTTTAAAATACGTGTTAGAACTGACCATAATAGGCAGGGAATGGGGACGTGAGGCCTGAAAAGTGTGGTTCTGGTCCCAGAGCTGTGATTACTAACCTCCACAAGCTTCTTCTCTCTCTTGATCCTAGTTTTAAAAAGCTTTCAATGAAGTTGGGAACAACTGACTTTGCCAAGTTGTTCTGAGGACTGGATACAGCAATGAAGATGAAAACATTTTACAAAATGAAATATGGTCTCCAAATTCAATATTTTTCTTATAGAACTAGGTCAGAATTAGAGACAGAAGCTGGAGAACACATGATGGAAGGTTCACACACTTGGAGTCAGCTTTTGTTGAGGAAACTATGCAAACCTTCCTTTTGAGAGGAATTACATGAAGTCTTTGTCACTGCAGGGGAGGAGGGTGTGGCTCGCAGACCTTCCTGTGGACTCCTGTTTAATGTCTCTTCTTAGGCTCCGGCCAGGCCTGTGTTTGTGATCCTGGGGTAGCAATTTAGGAGTCAGGTTAAGAAAAGCCGAGGAGGAGAAACAGAAGACATGATCTTAGTCAATAAAACAAGGAGAAATACAAATGTGAGGCCTAACCAGTTTTGAAAACTATTCTTACAGCTCTCTTAAGATAGCTTCTTAAAGCCAGCCCAGCCCAGCAGGTCAATGGAAAGAGTGATGTTGCCACCGGTGCTGTAACCCAGGTTTTTGTGACAATGTCTTTACTTACTGCTCTTCAGTACCCAGTGGCACCATATCAACAATACCCAACCATTCTCCATCTCTCCCTCCCCTTCATGTCCCTGCTGTAAAAGATGCAGAGTGACCAGTGAGAGAAAGCCAAGATTGCTTTCACACCCAGGAAAAGCGAATACAATAAGTAAATGAAGTCTGGCCAATCCACTTACTCTCTTGCTCCTGTTAGCCATGTTTTATAATTTAGGAAAGAATGTTTTTCTAGATTTGGAAAGTAGATGTGGCTTATTGTCAAACTTTGCTGGCTTAACTGCAACATACTCCTTTTGAAGAAAATATCTTTTAATAAATAACTTTTGCCTCCATCAGTCTTAGAATTTCCTAGAACTTTTTCTGTGTTGTACAGGTATCATTTGAAAAGGCATTAACAAATTGAGCGGAATGATTATCCATATTATCCATAAAACTTCCTCTTATAGAGTCGGGGGTTCTTCAGTATAGTGGGGAGTGAATCTATGTAAGATGCTTTACTTTAGAAGAAAGTAAGCATGCTGTTTCTCTGCAAAACTTCACATTGTTCATAGGGTATGCTTTTGAATAATTTAAAATATACCACTTTAATTGTCTGTTTCTGGAATTAAAGCGCAATCTTTCAAATTCTATAATATAGGTGACATATTCATGTTTCTATTAGTCCAATGTGTATATATAGAGAGTAATGTTGATTTTATATAATAATTGAGTAAAGCATTTACACTGAGTGGCCAGATTATTATGATCTCTGAATACGTAATAATATAGCCACTCAGTGTGTACTTATGTGTGTGTGTGTGTGTGTGTGTGTGTGTGTGGCTGTGTGTGTGGGTGTGATTCATACACACAGTGGAGGCCTGGTGTATGAATCCGTGCATAGGTGGGGTCTGGCCAGCCTGGCCAGGGGGAGGGGCTATGAGCAGTTGGCTGGCCTGCCTTCTGGTTGAACTCCTGGTTGAGGGGCTATTTGCATATTAACCTTTTATCATATAGAATACACACTGAGTGGCCAGATTATTATACAGTCAGAGATTATAATAATCTGGCCACTCAGTGTATATTCTGTATGCAAAGTGCTTAATTTAATACCAACAGTAACTATAATAGCATAGCATATAAAAAAAAGGCAGGAACAACAACAAAATAAAAACAATATTAGAACATTAGCATGATTCAGGTGGTAATGTCAGGAGGATCTGATCTTGTGTGCTTTTTACCAGTTCCTGGAATGATTTTTTGCTGAAAATCTATTCTGGATCATCCAATCCCTCTTTTAATTTTTGATGCCCATTTGTGAGCTGAGCTGGTTTTCTGGGATTATAAATACAATGGGTAGTTTATTTATCCTCATATTATCTGTGAAAACCTAATTGGACAAAATAAAACATTCTTTAACCTGTTCTCATGAGCTCCACGTTGTAATCAGCTTGAAATTCTTGTCAATTCTATAAACACGGTAACGTTCCCTTTATAGCATAGACCAGAGAGTGAAGACATGAAATAATTCTGGACAGGTATTAATGACCTCAGTCATTATCACTTGAATTATTATGCACTTGATGGCATTATTGGGTCATAGATCTTCATATCTGCCCAGGAAGCCACCTGGTTCAGGGGAAATTATTTAAACATTAGAGTCAAATCAGCCAGGATTGAAAACCTATTATCTTCTGGTTTTTAATGACAAATTACTTAGATGTTTCTGATCCTTGGTTTCCTTGTCTATAATAAGATATTAATGATAGAACCTACTTTGTGGGGTTGTAACAAGGACGGAATTAATTAATGTATATGTAGAATCCAAGTTAGCACTTAGTAACTGACATCTATTACTAATTATTTTTTTGTCATAATATTTAAGAAACACCTTCTTAAAAGTCATTTCCTTTGCGCCTTTTATAGCACGAGAAGCTGATACATGAATTGGAAGAGGAGAGACACTTACGTCTTCAGAGTGAGAAGCGGTTGCAGGAGGTAACACTGGAGTCGGAGCGCAGCCGGATTCAGATGCGTGGCCTGCAGCAGCAGTTCTCCAGGTATGGTTACAGCCTGAGCTTCTTGCTGCAAAGGGTGCATGCTTCCCTACACCAGTAACATCCCTTCTTGTGTTTCTCCTGTGCACACTTCTGTTGCGTCTCATTGGCTAATTCCCCTACAGTGTTGGCCTTGTCTTCTGGCCAAGCCATCCTATTGAATTTGGACCTTCATTTGCACCTGAAATTTCATTTGCACCTCACCTAGTCTTGGCTTTATTGAGCATGTTTCTTCCTGATGACTTTCCAAAGGATCTTATGGTACATTGTGGTGGTTTTGTGGCCTATTGGCATGTTGTATGAAAGGGCATCCAGGAGGATAAATTTCTCTGGTCATCATAATTCTATCTTAAGGTAGAGAGAGTGTGTGAATCTAATCATCCAGTAAGCTCTTACTCATGACTTAGAGGGAACATTGAGGAGTATTTAAAAAATAAAAATCAATAAGCTCTTTCTCTTTAAAAAGATAAAACTTGAATTTGAAAGGAGGATTCAGAAAAAAAAGTAGCTCTGCTTAGATTTAATTCCAGCACAGTCAGAATCATTTAGTCTTTGGTTATAGTTAACATAGGGCTAGGTGAAGTTCAACTTGTTATTTAAAATCTATTAAGTTCCATGGATAAAACATGAACTCCTGCAGTTACAGTACTAAGACCAGATGTGGGCACTCTGTGAGGGACAGTGTACTTTCTTTTCTATTTCACTTCACCATTTGCAAAAGCAAGAAAATAATTTTTGAGATTCTCCCAGGCAGAATCAAATTTGAGAAGTTGCCCTTAAATTTTCATGAGCAAATTCTGTGGATCTTATCTTTAATTTACTACTGGTATTTGGCTATGATCAGTCAGCAATTTTCCACTGGTGTGCCACAAGAATTTTTTTAAAAACATGCAGTACCTGGCTATATAGTCAGGGGCACTGACCTCTTTTCCCTTAGATTGTCAAATAAGAAAATGACAACATCCAACACAATAATAGCTATTTACTGTGAAGAATCAAAGTTAATCTATTTTTTTTTTCAAATAGGCAAAAAATATGTCTTAGTGTGCTACGGAATTTTAGTAATTAGTTTATGGGTGCCATGAGATGAAAAAGGTTGATAATCACTTTGAATAGTGATGGAGAAGATAGCTTCTTCATTATAAGACTTTTATAATAATTTTTAATTTTCAGATGTGTTGCAAAGAGAGACCATACTTGAGCTTTTAGGTAATTCCTCTCATTGTGGCTAATACCAGGTATGTGTGCTATACTGGTTTAGAGGAATGGATAGGGAGGATGGATAACTCCTCTGTGTTTCAGTCATAATTTAATACCCTTCTCAACTCTTCAAGCCCATGATAATATTATACACAGGTGCTGTAGAAATGCACCAGTCATTATTTTAGCAAGTTCATGTCCCACTCCTCGCAGGCTATTACTTATACAGCCCTGCGCTCCATTTTTTTATTTCATTGATGGTGACTCTCACTTAATAACTCCCAACTTGAACTAATAGATCTCCGCTCCAAAGCAACTTCCAAACAAGCACTGCTTTGTAATACTTTCCATTTTAATGATAAAGAAAAGAAGGAGGCAGACCTCTCTACCCTTGTTCTGTCTAATTAAGACGCCTCTGTATTCCAGCTATTGATTTCCAGGGCATGAGGCACATGGCACAGTAAATTCTGTTTATATGATGCCAGGTCCTCTGCTATGAATCAAAAGGCAATACACACAGATTTGAGTTCCACAATAGCCAAGTCTTCATCACAGGCTGAGAGAGAAGATAATTCTATGTAAATCAAACAGTGTTTAGTTTCACATACTGCCTTTGGGAAGATTTTTTTTGCCTCTCCCCCACAATGTTTTCTTATGTAAAGCTTCATTGAAACTGAAAAGTTCAAGTCTAATTACAGCCAAACAACTAATGTAAAGGAGCAGAAGATGGGGGGAGGAGGGGAAGCATGTATAACAGATAAGATTATTATAGAATAATAATTTAACTGGACCCTCTAATCCATTTTCTGATTACCTTACACATTTTAAATTTTGATTTGTAAGATATTTCTCATTATGATTATTTAATCAACCCTATTTCTATAATTTAAGTCTTGTAAAGTTCTTGGTGTTGCAGAACATGCCTATAGTGAATTACCCTCAGATTGTTCACCACCTAAATGCTCACATAAATAATTTCTATAATTGAAATTATTGTATTTAATTAAAAACTTGTACATTCCCAATTTTATTGATGATTGGGTTTATGTTATACATGATTAGTTTATTTTATACTTGATGATATCTGAATGTATGTTATACATGATGAAATCTGAGATATGGACTTTGAGATTTTAACTTTTTTAGTGTTGCTCATCGAATGAAGTTACTTTGAAAAATAATGCTAATAGCTTAGCTTTTTCAAAAGATATGAAGTGGCTTATGATATAAAAGATGGCTGTACAATCAAGCTTATAAAATAAAAACAGAAAATAAAGATCACGAAAGGAGAATGCGGCAAGAGATCACAATTATATAGCCAAGTGTTCTCTGAGAATGAGTATTTAATTTAGCTCTAAGTTTCCTGGCATAAAAGTTTAAAAAGGAAAAGAAGAGGATTGTAATTCTTATTTCACAGACAAAGGCTACTGCTCCTTAAAGAGTAATAAAATGCATATGACACAGACCCCTTTATAGATGGCATTGAAAGGCATAATAGAGAATAATCCAAGATGGTGCAAATTAGGATTAATTCTTAGAAGTGGTTCTACTTCTGCTATGCCACTTATATCTACAAAGTTAGGCAGCTTCTGACTTTCACATGATTTAGGAGTGCTGGGTTCATGCCTAACACAGGAAATAAGATGAACTCCCGGGCTCAAGGTTTCCAGGTCAAGCACTATACTGCAAATTCATGAGAACATCCAAATATATACATGTTGTAATACATTTTATGAACCTGGGGCACAGAGACATGAGATGCTGGAGCCTGGGCTAAGTCAGGTGAGGTGTTTTTCTAGCATGTTTGATGGTATTGTAGCCATGGGAGTATCTGAATGGTAGTTGAGATTCTCAGTCTCAGATTCAGGGATGAGGTGACATATTGGAGGGGAAATGAATAATTGAGAAGCTGGGACAATTAGGTGTGCTTGGGAATTCGAGAGATGTGAGTTTTAATGATCAGCAGTGGTCTAAAATTTGGGGGTTGGAGGGAGTATGAGCCAGAGGTTACATAATCAGCTCTAAGCTCATAAATCAGCAATTGCCTGCACTGAGAGAAATGCAGGCAGCCATTGCAAACTTGATTCAAACCATGTACGCTCTTTAAGTACAGAAAGAAAAAATATACTTTCCAAGTAACCCTTCTCTATAGATGAAGGGGTATTTTGTCAAGGTGGTACCTAGAAGCAGCTAGTGGAATCATTAGGACTGCCCCCTCTTTGTGTTTATTTCTGTTGATATAAATCAAAGATGCTTTCCAGATGTTATACTGCTTGCTCAGCCCATCCTCTGTGTGGTGCACATGGCTGGGCATGCCTTATATGCGATTAGCTTTGTGACCCCTATAATTCCATAGGCTCCACCCTCCCTTTAACTCTTTGTTTGAACCGATTGTAGCTAAGGTTACTACTGTGGACTGAGGCTGTGGCACTGCCTTCCCTCCTATGTAAAGGTAATGTGCCTTTGCTCGTTGAATGAAGTTACTTTGTAAAATAATGCTAATAGCTTACCTTTTTAAAAGGATGTGGAGTGACTTATGATGTAAAAGATGGTTGTACAATCAGGCTGATAAAATAAAAACAGAAAATAAAGACCCCAGCCTCATTACTCTACCTGGAGTGAAGGAAGTGTTTGTGTATCAGCTAGAATCAGGGGTCTTCAAACTACGGCCCGCGGGCCACATGCGGCCCACAGAGGAGTCTGATCCGGCCCGCCAGGTTTTTTGGGCAGTGAGCGCAGCCGAGGTGTTACAGTAGGAATTAGTAGTACATATAGTCCGGCCCTCCAGCTCTCTGAGGGACCGTGATCTGGCCCCCACTTTAAAAAGTTTGAGGACCCCTGATTCACCCAGAGAAGCATCTTCAGGAAGGCTGTCACATTGAGATGGAATAACAGTGGTTTTAAACAAAAAGACTTGTGAGGAAATAAGCAAGTCTACAGAGTACTGATTACATGCAAACTATGCATGATTTGTACATGTTTTAGTTCCTTTGGAAACAGTGCATAGATTGTTATTGGAAGCTGCTGTTCTTATCAGACAATGAACCACTTTTACTGCACACAATAGGAGAGAACACAGTGTCTTCAAAGATGTCCAGCCCAGCTAGAGAAGCCTTATGTACATATATGAACAAATTAACATCTATAGAGTAGCTGTAAATGAGGGGAACTTTTGTCCAAATTCAGGACAGCCAGATCTCATATTTGTAGTGGGCATGTTATCGTGCAAAGACATGATTCAAGCCAGATGAAATTGATAAGTGTGTAGTGATACTGGCAGTGATAATACATGTGTGTGTCATGTGACAGCTCTATATTAGAATCAATCAACCTAGTAGACCCACCACCAGGCAGACATATTTTGTAAACTATTCACAGTTAGGGAAGCACATTACACCCAAAGCATCAGCAGGAATCAATTAGCATTTCTCTGTAGCTGTGAAGTGTTCTGTATGTATATTTAAATGATGCAGTGTACATTGAAGTAATGAAACAATTAAGCTGTCACCCATGATTGATTAAGATAGTTAAAAATCACCCTGACAGAGTCCAGGCTTCACTCTCAACCTCCAGGATTTCTATGCATCTGTTTTGACCTTCTCTCCTAGCACTCTATCTGCTGCCTTGAAGCTATTTCTTTGCTCTATAATGGGGTTTTCCCCTATCACAGTTGATTGCTACGCTTAACTGCAGTCCACTGCATGCTGAACTTCAAGGAGACAGAAATGGAGATAGTTTTACTGCGTAAGTTGTTCACTGGTTGCTGTTTACATTATCAGCTTTCAGAGACTTTATGGAATCCT